TCACTGGCTGAGCGTGGTGCGGGCACAACACCGAGGGTTGCGATCCCGTTACCGGTCAGTAAAAAAGACAAAAAGGAAAAAAAAAAATGACAGATTTGAGAGGTTTTGGTCTCAGAGAGGTTCTCTGGTCACACATCATTTCTGAGAACTATGAAGTTTAAGTATGGGGTTCATAATTATACAAGCAGGGAACCGCCTATTAGCATTTCCCCCTACAGGAACATAAGTGATCCCATTGGTTTTTCTATTTGGGGGATGCCTTATTTTCTCAGCTAACCTTTTCTGTGGTAGAGTGGCCCTTACAAAAACGAAGAAATAAAGGGCATTTGTACTATCGTCCTAACTAGGTAACAGTAGGACAGGGAGTAAGAGCTCACCAGAGAAAAAGCAGGCACTGCCACCCTGAAGTGGCGAGATGTGACCTCCGCCCCCAACTCACCTCGGTGTTCCCCTTGGTAACGTTTTTTGATGGCAGCCAGGCTGAAGGCCCCCTCGCCCTCCTGCTCATCGTCCTGCTCCTTGTCACTGCCGGAGCCCTGGCAGGGGGTGCTCAGGCCCTGCTGGTTCTGCTCCTCCCGCACACGGATTTTCTCAGACTTCTGGTGAGTAGAAGCCCTCAGTCGTCTTTCTTCTTTCTGTAAAGAGGCAAATAAACTATTTGACTTAAAAAAATGAACTCCTTTCATGCCCACCTGAACCTGCTTTTACCATAAAGGAACATATAAACATCTAGTCCAGGATGACATCCATCCCAGATGGCCTCAGAGTTCAGTCTCCTCCACTCACACCTCTGTTAGCACATGCAGGTGAAGGCAGGAGGGTTCCCTCGCTCTAACCAGCCCCACCAGAGTGGGCACAGGTGTGTCCCGGGGAGCTGCACCATCCTCTGTGCTGCCACTCAGAGCCCAGAGAGAAGCGACAGGCCTGAGAAATCCCATCCATGCCCAGCAGATGCCTGAACTGACTCCCTGGGGCTGTGGAGGCTGTTTCTGCTCATCCCTGACATGCAGACACCTGACCAGCCCAGGCTCCATCAAACTCTCACCGCTCCCAGATATTCCTGTTCCAACACCTCACCCAGAAAGCTCCCACAGTTCCTGATGACAGGATGGGGAGGCCCTCCTAGGGGAGAGTCCTCAAACCACAAGGTAGAACCTTCATTTCCTTACAGCTGCCTGGCGTTCTGCACACTGGGGTTCACCAGGCCATGCCAGTGCTGGACAAGTCAGAAATGTTCTTTAGATCTTCCTATCTGCTAACACGGTTTTACAATATCTGTCAAAGGTAAAGTTTTTAAAATCAGTTTTTCCCTGAAATCTCATAGACTAGAGGGAAAGCACCTGAGTTCCTTGTTTGCTACAATTTCCAGTGGCCAGAGACATTACTGCAGTTAACTACACACTTAGAAGATTAAGCGGGCTCCCTGATAACTGCAAGAAATAAAATGGCAGCGGCAATAAGAAATGGTGAATTAATATTCTGGAAACACAGCTCTTAATATCAAAAAGTCCCAGGTTAGAGCTTAGCAGACATACCTTCTTCATTTCTGTGTGCTGGCGTTCAGGGTCACGACTGGCCATTGGCAAGATTTTAATTTTCTGTGTCTTTGAACCTCTATTAGCAAGTGTCAGGTTCATCTTTCTGTGTGTGGCACTGTCTGTTGAGTGAGGTCTGCTGGGAAATGGACAAAAATGTCTCACTTTTTACTAAGAGCATTTGGAGGCAAACATACCAACAGCAAAAACACCTGCAGATGACGACCCCGCACTCAGCAGAGCAAGGAGGCAGGACCACAGTTCATTCTCCAGCTCTTTGGGTCTCCCTCAGCCCCAACTCCTGGGAAAAGCTGATTGGGATGAAGTGAGAGGAGATGGACGACCCCGCACTCAGCAGAGCAAGGAGGCAGGACCACAGTTCATTCTCCAGCTCTTTGGGTTCCTCCCTCAGCCCCAACTCCTGGGAAAAGCTGATTGGGATGAAGTGAGAGGAGATGGAAGGGAGGAGAGGCAGGTGCAAGGTCAAGGGCTTTTACAAAGAATAGCCCCGACTACAACCACAGTAGAAGAGAACAAATATGAAATCTCACTCAGTTCCAGGAGGGGGGCCCAGATGCCTGAAGGCAAAATTTGAGAACTAAAGATGCGTCCATCTGGATAACATTGGAAGGAAGGCTAAGGCAAGGAGGCAGGTCACAGCAGCAGGAGGGGCCTTATAGACCAAGGGGACAACAGCTAATCCTGGCACAGAAAGAAATGCCGTCCTGACTAAAGGAAGGCGGCTTTTAATGAAGTACAGCCGAGAGAAGGAAGGCTACGCCTCTGAGGGACAGCACGTGGCTACAAAGAGATGGGACGCAAGGAAAGAAGCTGGGCAGTCAAATATCCCAATGTGGAGCACGGGGTGCGATGAAAAAAAGCAAGCTAAGAATTGTGTATCTTTTAGGACGCCATTCCAGAAGAGATCAAGAGGTTGGATTCAGCACCATTTATTGTGCCAGGTCTCTGCATGATGTTTTACATATTATTCCACGTGATACAACATCTCTGTGAGGTAGACGTTGTTATGTCCACTTTATACATAAGGACGCTGGAAATTAGTGACACTGAGACCCTTCCTCAAGATTACACAACCTCAGAGCTGTCCCGTTAGTCTTTAAAAAGATCAACAGATTTACTGAGTATAATTTACGTCATAACATTCACTCATTTTAAGTATACAGTTAAGTGATTTTTTTACTTACAAAGTTGTGCAACCATGACTACATCTGATTTGAGAACACTTCCACAACCCCCAAAAGAACTCAGTGCCCATTGTTATGGTCTGCTCAGCACTCCACCTGTAGAGGAAAGCTGACTCCTAACCAACAGTGCTGTGTCCTTCAGAGGGAAGGTGTGGCAAAGGGGCCACGGCCGTGTGTACAGCAGGGGCTCAGCTGGCCCTGGCATCATGTGCTTGGGCGCAGGCTGCTGCAGCCTCAGATAAGGTCTGTCGCCTGCACACACCAAAACCATTCTGATGACTGCTGAGCTTCCTGGTCAGGCTCACTCAAGGGACAGGGCACACTGAGCAGCAAAACAGCAGAGACAAGTCCGCTAGACCTACCAGGTGCACTGACCAATGTGAATTGATACACTGGTCTTCTGCGTTATTAAGCTTTCATAGCATGAATTTAGAAATGACAACTTGTAGTAAACACAAAAAAACTATTGGAACCAGACCATGGTACTTGATTACAACAATGAGTGGGCTTTTTGCTCAGTTTCTCTACTGAGCAAACAAACTCTTTAACTACACGTAATAATGTTTCAATATGAATAGTTACCTAAAGGTAAGTTTGGATTTAAAGACTGCTTGTCCCTGTAGACCAGTGTCTTCTCTTACAAACAGGTGGCTGTGATTGCCCTGCAGCGGGGCTTTGCAGACATCAAACATTTCATTGCCTAAATGCAGAGACATGCTGGAAACCAGAAACAGTTCAGGTATTAAGGTGGATATTGAATGAGCCCCACAGCTCCCATTCTACCTGTTAGCTTTACTTAAAACGGTGTGGAACTGCAGGATTCTGTCATACCAAATTCATAAGAAAAACAGAAAAGATGCTATAAATAACCTGTCTCCTTTCAAAGTAAAAAGAGGTAAAATTTATCTTCTTTTCAACTTGAAATGTAATTGTTTTGTAATTTTCCCAATCTCTACCACTTTATTAGCAAAACAGAAACAATTTTTCAAAATCATCAATTTATAATGTCTGGTATCTCACAGATGGGAGCTAACCTTAATCTTTCACATCAATAAGATCAATACAATAGATGTGATCACATCTTGGGTCCATTTCCAAAGTCTCCCACCAGCACAGCTATATGACCCCAACCCTATTTATTTCTCTCTGGTTTCCCAGGTAATGCCAGGGGCCTAGATTTTGTCAATTCTTTAATGAAAAATGACCCTTAAATAAGGTCCTACATAGCAAATGCCACTCCCAGGCCTCCCTCTGAGCACTTCAGAAGTCTTCAGGCATTGGGCCGGCCCGTGGCTCACTCAGGAGAGTGTGGTGCTGATAACACCAAGGCCACGGGTTCGGATCCCTATATAGGGATGGCCAGTTAGCTCACTTGGGAGAGCGTGGTGCTGACAACACCAAGTCAAGGGTTAAGATCCCTTTACCAGTCATCTTTAAAAAAAAAAAAGAATTCTTCAGGCATTTGGAGCTCACCTTCCATCTGACCACTTGACTATCCGAGCATTGCTTTCTTTAATCTCATTTCCTTCTTCATCCCGGCGTATCCTCCACCGTATGGTATTTTCTACCTGGTTCAAAACACAAAAGCACTAGGAAACCTATTTAACTAACTACATGTTCTTTTTTCCTCATGTGATTTATACTCATGTGCCAAGAATAGGTAATAACAGAATAAGCTTACCAAAAAATAGCTGATTTGGCAACACCAAAACCCACCTCCTACAAATACCTAGAGATTCCGGTTAAACTAACCAGACATTTTGTTTAAGTCTTTTCTGAGCTTCAGTTCACAGCCATGGAAGCAGAAGCTAAGTGTGGTGCAGCCTGGAGGTGTTATCAGATGCACTAAGAGCTCCAAAGGAGAGAAGACTAGGCTTTGGGTCCACATAGGCTAGGCAGCTAAAACTGAGATGGTTGCCTATAGCAGGGGCACTTGAAGGGCTATGAACCCAAGGAAAGAAGGGCTAAAAAGTGCCATTTAGCCTAGTGAGACAGGGAAACTCTGGGGATAAAATTAAAATGTTTTAAAAAGAATAAATTAACAACAAATTAAAATCTGAGGCTGTGTTTTGCCCTGTTTTTGAGTCCAAATTTACCCTACGCATATGGTAGGGAAGTCCAAATCACAGAAGCAGCATAAAAATTGACCCTGCCCAGCGCTACCAGTATGGCCCTGGCAGAAGCTCATAGGAAAGCCTGTTAAGGAAGACAACATCCCTGTGAGAGCAGTGATAGCACTTTGCCATCCCAGAACTTCTAGAGACAAACCACCTAATGACAAGGTCACTTTTTGTGCATGATTCAAATATCCATAAAGATCCTGAGACTTCTGTTGTGGGAAGCTGCTAAGGTCTACCCACTATAAAATGTGAAGACAGTTTCATGTGCCTTGAGTAGCTAACAATTTTCAAGAATTTTTATCTTTACTTCTGTTGAAAAATTACAACTGCAAAAAAAGAAAAGTGACAATTCTACAGGGATAAGAAAAAAAGGGTATGTACCTTCTCTAAAAATATTCTGAAAAGACATTTAATTCCTAGTTCTAAAGAGTTATTTGTTGATTAAACAGGAAATATAAAAGATCATTTTCATAAGCTCAAGTTGTCATCCCTGTGTTTTACTTTATGAAAGGAAAAAACATAAAAGAAAGAAAAAAGGAGTTAGAGTGCGGATGGTACCTTTAATTTTAACCTGGTTTTATCTTCCTCATCAAGCACTTTTTCATCTTCAAATTCATCTTCATAAAACTGAGGATCAAAAGGTCTAAAAATTGTTTTTGTAATGTCATATTAGCCAGATTTAGTAATATTATGATTAATACTATAAATTTATCATCTCTATAACATGTACCAATATGTTTTTAAAAATCATAGTAGACAAATAACTTCAAGTAAACCTTCAAGGAAGTATGCAAATTACTGTACTTTCTTGAAATTCATTTTTAAATCATATTGCCTGAAATAAAATCCAAATGTGATAAATAATTTAAAATCTTCTTTGATGAAATACGTCTTCTACAGTATAGGCTACACAGTCTATTTTTCCATACTTTTTAAAGAAAATGTATCCTGTCTAATTGCACAAGAGCTTGCACACATGTGCCTTATTGAACTCTACCCATTGACACTACTTTGATGTCCAAAATCATTGCCTTTTCTACATTCACAATGGCTTTTGCATTGAACACTTGTGACTTCTCTAGCAGACTCTCTCACTCTTGTTTTCAATTTTGCAGTTTTACATTAGTGAAAACACCTTCATTAGTTGTGTGGCCTATTTGTTTATAAGTAAGTGCCAACATGTTAGAAAAATTATTAGCATTAAAACTCTCATTTTTCTACCACAGCACATCCTAAATTTATCTTTTTTGGAGTTACATGAGAAAGATCCCATCTTTGTGACTAGTCAGCTCATGATAAATAAGAAAAAAAATTTACATCCTACATATTTTTATTCAATATCTTGAAAAATTGAATCAGCCCTCTTACTTGGGTTCTATGCTGAGAAACTTGGGTAGCTTAACAAAATGTAACTCATTTCCTAAATCAATGTTGACAATGGGAATTTCTACTTCTGTTTTGGTTTCAGAAATGGCCTCTTCCTGCTGCTGGTCCTGAGCCACTCCATGTTTATCCTAAGAGAAGAATCAGAATGTGAGTGCTTGAAGAGACATTAGAAGTGTTCTAGCTTTTCTCCTGCACCAGGCACAGACAGGTTTAATCAGAAGTGAATTTAGATGCAGGTTTGATCGGTGTCTAAGTTTATTTTATCCACCTTAGGAATAAAATAGTCAGGAACCCTTCCAAGCTCACCCACCACCCACAAAACAAAACAAAACCACCAAAGGAAACATCTGTTATCCTGCATGACTAGACAAAAAAATATGTTGACATATCTATTTTTCATAAGATATTCAGCAACAAATGTGTGAAATTATTCAACCCATCAATATACTAAGTAACTGTTAAAATCAGAGAACAACAACACAGCCCACACTTCTTGGCACAGTTTTGAATAAGAAAAACCTTTAAATCAAAGGTTTTCATGTAACAAGTGCTCAAAGTCTAGCCCCTACCGTTTGGCATCAACCTCATTCTAAGCAGCTCCTTCTGGGCCTCCTTATTTCCAGAAATTTCCAATACAGCTAAGAAAGTCACCCATTCATCAGATATTCAGTTATCCACGTCTTCTCTCGACACGAGAGAGACAGAACTGGAACTTTTCCGCCTCTGGAACTTTTTTCTTAGTTTTGAATAACGGGATGGGTTGCGATTAGTGATGGTACTTACAGCAAGCTGACTGGGAACAGGTGATAGGTTGTCTCCCTCACTCTCTGAAGAAATGTCATCTATATCTCCAAACAGATCCATGGTCCCACTATAATCTTCAAGGTTGGGGGGAAATGCACAGTATTAATTTCTCTAACTGAAGTCATTTACAGAGTTAGTTCTTGGATCACCACTTCAACATATTCCCAAGATTCATTAACCAAATCTCCATTAAACCAACCTCAAACTGGCTCCCTGAGCCTGGCCCTCAGAAGCCTGACAAGAGCGTCCCTGGAGAAGGAAGGAAGCAAAGTTCATTGGTGAAGGGAGTCATTGTGATAGCCAGCTTTCAAGATGGTTCCCAGTGATTCCTGCCTCTGGTTTTCATGTCCTTGTGTGGTCCCCTCCAACAGTGTGTCACAGTGGGCCTATGTGATCAATGTAAGATGACCTCACTTCCAAAGCTAGGCTATGAAAGACACTGTGTCTTTTCTGCCTTTCTTTCTCTCTTGGGTCATTGGCTCTAGGGCAAGCCAGATGCCGTGATATGAAGACACTCAAACTGCCTATGGAGAGGCCCACATGGTGAGAAACTGAGGCTTCTGCCATGAGCCATGTGGGTCGTCTTAGAAGCAGATCTTTCAGCTGCAGGCAAGACTTTGGATAATGTGGTGTCCGTCAATAGCTTGACTGTAGCCTGTGAGAGACCCTGAGCCAGACCACCCAGCTATGGCATTCGTGAATTCCTGACCCTCTGAATCTGTGTCATATATTAAATGTTTGCTGTTTTAAGCTGCTGAGTTTGGCTAATTTGTTTTGCAGCAACAGATAACTAATACACTTACATGAAAGCATTTCTCCCTTCTTTTTCTACATCTCTGTTCTCCCACTTTTCTTTATTCCTCAGGATACCAAATAGTCTTCTATAGTCTCTGGATACTCAAAGTTGAGGCTTGAGCTCTCTGCACAGGTCTGTCTTTCACTTTAAAGTATCGCCTTCAATATTACAGCTCCATACTGGCTCACACTGTCAGGCCAGAATGTCAGATGGATATAGGCAAAAATAATCTGTATAAACCCAGTATACCCTAAAGGACTGTGGCAGTGACCCGGGCAAGAAGTTGGCAAGAAGAAAGGGAGCTAAACCATCTGCAGATGTTAAAGACCAGAGATGCTCATCATTTATTCAATCCAAAATAAACTACCCCAACCAGTAACTGCAACTGTTCAAGGAATTCAGCGTTATGTTTTAAATGATCAACTTATTCAGATCTATCATTACTAGATATTTATTTTAACTTGATATTTATCAGTTTATACCTATCGTCTGTGTGGTCCCAGCTCCTTCAACATTCCTAGTGCCATGATCAGCCTCTGCCTCCATTCATCTTCATAAAGATATGTATTTAAATATGAATATAATAAAGGGTCTAAAGAATTTCCCTGAAAGCAATTCCTGAGTTTTCTTGGCCTACATGAAATATTCCTGTGAACTAGTCTATTCTTCATTTTACAGAACAGGAATTCAAAGTTAAAATGGATATTAACTTGTGCAAAGTCACACTGGAGGTGAAGGAGCAGAGAGGTCACCAGACTCCAAAGTCAATATACATAATCACTCTTCATTAGACTGAGAGCTATTGAAGCTCTCTCCTCACCTCTCCAGCGGTTCCTATAAACGTCCACTTCAACTATGTAAAAACAATGCTACTTATGGTTATTGATATAAGCTGCTTAGCATTCATGCCTAATTACATGCGTACACTAATGCCAACACCCATGAAATAGTAATAGGCTAACCTAACAGCTTGCAAATAGGGTAAAACCAAATCCCAGATCTGATACATATTCTAGGTCATAAAACAACACATAACAAATTTTAAAAAATTGAAACCACAAAAAATATGTTCTCTGATCATAATGCAATTAAAGTAGAAAAGAATATCAATCAGAATGATAACCGGAAAATCTTCAAATACTTGGAAATTAAACAAAATATTTCTAAATAATCCATAGGTCAAAGAGTAAGTGTCAGGGAAAATTTAAAAATATTTTTAAACAAATAAAAACAGAAATATAGGGCCGGCCCGGTGGCGCACTGCTATAGTACGCCGCTTGGGAAGCGCGGTGGCGCTCCCGCCGAGGGTTCGGATCCCACATACAGACCAGCCACTCACTGGCTGAGCGAGGGGCGGGAGCAACACCGAGGGTTGCGATCCCGTGGCCGGTCCCGGTCCGGTACGGGCGCGACACTGAGGGTTGCGATCCGTTGCCGGTCACGAAAAAAGACAAAAAGGAAAAAAAAAACAGAAATATAATATATCAAAATTTGTGAGATACAGCCAGAGAAAAGTTTATGGCATTAAATTATTATTTTGGAGAAGAAAAAAGATCTCAAATCAATACTTGAAGCTTCCACCTTAATAAAATAGAAAAGTAAGGACAAAAGAAACCCAAAGCAAGTAGAAGGTAGGAAATAATAAAGAACAAAAAATCAATAAAATTGAAAATAGAAAGATAATAGAGAAAAATCAATGAAAACAAAAGTTGGTTCTTTGAGAAGATCTTTATGTTGTTATTGATAAACCTCTATTTAGGCTGAAAAGAGAAAAAACACAAATTACAAATATCAGGAATAAAAAAGGGGATATCACCACAAAACCCACAGATATTAAATGAATAATAAGGGAATAATGCATATAACTCTACACACATAAATTCAACTCAGACTAAATGACCTAGTTCTTTGAATCACAAACTATCAAAATTCACTGAAGAAATAACCTATTTAATAGAAATAGACTTATTTCTACTAAAGAAAACTGAATCTATAGTTTAAAAACCCTCCAAAAGTGAAAACTGCAGGTCTAGATGGACTCACTAGGTTTTGATACTTAATAAATAAATGGTTCTATTTTTCCTTTAACAAATCAATTAACACATGGCAGACTCATGATACATTCTTTAGAGAAATTTTACTAGTGTTTTACTCTTCAAAAAACTTAGGAATTCTGTAAAAATGTTATGAACTTTTTGAAATTATCGGCTTTTAAAAAATGATGCATCCATAGTGAGCCTAAGTATACAAAAGAAACTTGTTCTGTGGAACCAGGAGCCAAGGCCAAAATGTATGTGTTGCTAGAACATGAAAAGCTTCCATTGCTTACAGCTGTTTTCCCAATTAATGTGTATAAGTCACTATGTTTAATGTACCCGTAGTAATGTGCAGCTAGATACGTAAATTGTACCATTTTACAAAGTTTAAGAAAAAGACATCCCCTGCAATGGAGTTACGTTGACTTTTGTCCCTTGTTTTAATCCCCCAGGTGCCACAAAGTAGGATAAATGATAGTTTTGATTGGGATTGTGGCTCCAAAAACATCTGTTAACCAACAGGTGCCAGGGCTTCCTGCTGAAATACAAAGCAACAAAGGAGCAAAATTTTGAACCAAAAAGGAAATAGTGGTTAACAGCATCTGACAACAATGCTGCTCAGGACCAGGACAACACTGACTGTATCTGCACACAGAAGCCTGTTTTGTGTACATTTATCCACATTTTTGTTAAATGTTAAGTCATTCGCACAGTATGCCTAAGTGCATAGTATGTCGTTTCATCCCATTTAAGTTTCTTGAGGGTTTTCTTCAGATGTCTGCTGAGTTGCTGCCCCTTACTTGAACTACAAGTACTGCAATCTTTTTCATTCTCAATATGAGTAGAGCTTTCTGAGCTATAAATTTAACAGGAACTTGGCCTGTGTGGCCACTGTGAGGGCCAAAAAGATATCCGCAGTCATTGTATTATTTGTATATAGGGTGACCGAACAAATAAACATATTGAGGATAATTGGAGCCAGGTTTCTTGCTTTTAGAGAAGCGGATAGAAGAGGCCATTCAGCAGGAGTCTGTACTGAGAGACCCTGAGCCGCCTATACAAGAGACTTTCTCTTGCCTTGTGGACTTCGCTGATGATAGATGCCATTATATATGCCCAACCTTATGGCTTAGTGGGCAGAAAACGCCCATTTCATGATGAGAAATTCAGCCTGTGTGGTAACTTGATGTCCCAGGATTAAGTGTTCAGAAGCCAGCCAGCAGTTGTTGTTCCGAAGTGGTTATCTACAAAAAGCAGGTGTGGATATGTTCCAGGCCCCGAGAGGCCAGAACTCAGTTCTCTTGCTGATACTGGCCAAAGGGTTCACATAGTAGTGGTATTTTCCACAGACATATCAAGCATCATTGGATCCTCCAGGTCATGAAGACCCAGTGGAAGAGCAGCCTGCCTTGCAGCCTAGGCTCACTGCAGAGTGTTCTCTTATTCTGGTCCTCACTCAAAACAGGCAGCATCTATGGCTTACTTGGCAAAATGTCAAAGTAGCACACTAAAATGTGTGTACACTGGCTCCCAAATCTAAAAATGTCCACCAAACATTCTTTTTGAGTGGTAGGTGGTTCAAGGTGCAGCACATTATCCTTCATTTTGGAGGGGATATAGAGACATGCTCCAGACCATTCATGTCCCAGGAACTTCAGGGGTGGCACGCCCCTGAATTTTGATGGAGTTTATCTCCCACCATCTGGTTTGCATGCTAGCCACAAAGTTTGCATGCTAGCTACGAAGGCATCTATATTACTTACCATTTTCTGCTCATCACACCCAATCAGCATAATGTCACCGATGCGTTGACCAGTGTGATGTGTGGAATGTCAAGATGATCAAGATCTCTGCAGACTTCATTCTAGCAGAGTGCAGGTGAGTCCCTGGAACTCTGAGACAAGACTGTGAAAGTGTGCCGTTGGTCTAACAGGTAAAAACAAACTGTTTTTGTTTGTCCTTACACATGATGTAGTCAATAGCTGTGTACCAGGTGTCAGCAGCTGTTGATTTGCTCCAATAAATACATGCATATGAAATAGTGACTGCTATTGGAATCATTATCTGATTAGGTCTAAGGTGACCCATCATTTCCAAGATCAATCTGCTATCTGCACAGGTTGAACTGGTCAGCTAAATGGGGGATATAAGAGGTATCATCACCCCTGCTTCTTTTAACTCTTTGATGGTGTCGTTCATCTCTTCAATTCCAACCCACTCCCCGCCAC